AGCTCCTTTGAGTTGCAGAATATACTGCCCTGCAGTCTTTTAATGTAGAAGCTGCAAGGTCCTGTGTAATCCTTACTGTGGTTCTGTGATATTTAAATTGTTTCTTTCTGGCTGCTTGTAGCACTTTCTCTTTCATCTTGTAATTTTGGAATTTTGCTTATATTCCTTGGCATTGTCAATTTGGGATCTCTTTGAGGTGGTAACAGGTGCATTCTTTCTATGGTTATTTTACCTTTTGATTCTAGGATTTCCGGCAGTTTTCCTTTATGATTTCCTGAAAGATGCTGTCCAGGCTCTTTTTTCATCCTGATTTGCAGGTAATCCAGTGATTTTTAAATTGTCTCTCCTGGATTGATTTTCCAGGTTGGTTGTTTTATCGATGAAGTGTTTTATATTTTCATCCATTTTTTCATTTTTTTGTTTCTGTTTGACTGATTCTTTCTCTCTCATACAGTCATTAGTCTCCATTTGTCCAATTCCAGTTTTTAACAGATTGTTTTCTTCTGTTAGTTTTTGTACTTCCTTCTTCAATTGGCCAATTGTATTTTAAGGGATTTGTTTTCTTCAGTGTACTTTTTTTTTCCAATTGACCAATTGTATTTTTTAAGGACTCTTCTACCTCTCTTGTTAGACTTTTAAAATCCTTCTTGAGCCCTTCTAAGAAGGCCTTTTGGGCTTCAGACCAATTTGTATTCCCTTTTGATATTGCAGATGTGGGATTGTTGACAATGTTGTCCTCTTCAGAATTTCTGTCTTCATCTCCACTCTTCTTATAATATGAATCTATGGTATGTTTCTTTTTACTCATGGTGTTTCTTTATTCCCAGCCTTTAAAGAGATTGAGCTCTCCTGCTGGGGGACAAAGGGTACTGACCAGAGCTTCTTGTGTTGGGAGCCTAGGTCTTGGTCACTGGCTTTGTGTGCTGGGGTCTCTTATGTTGGCAATTGGAGGCTTTGGGTTTTCAGCTTACCTCCTGTTGGGCTGGAATCATCAAGGCTGGAACTTGCAGGCAATTCTGGGTTGCTTGCTTTTCCTTTCCTTTAGCTTTCTTCAGCTCCTTTTAGATGGGTGCTGCAGGGTGTTTATTTGCCTGGGGCCCCTTGCAATGCTGCCTCCCTTGTTTCTGCTAATGCTGTGGGAGACCAGATCAGGTGCAATGGAGAATCAAGGAAATGATATTGAAGAGATGCACATCTACCAGTTGTAGGCGATATTTGGATAATGTTCCACATGGAGAGGGTCTCAATCAAGATCAGATGAGGAAGAAACTCCATGCTGGTGACCTCTGTAGGGGTGGGAAAGCTTGCCAAGAGAGATCCAACCTTGCTTCTACCTGGATAGGTCCTGGTGGTGGTGATGGTGGGGATAGTGCTGGATCCAGAGGCATTTCTTTCATGTCTGACTAGGAGTTAGAGTTAGCAGCATTATTCCTAGGCCATAGAGGAACCCAGACTGGGACTTTAGTCCAGTGGGCCTGAAGATATCAACCCATCCACATGGAGGGCAGAGATGGAGGTTGTGGCAATGGATCATTCCAAAGAGCCACTACTACCCAATAGGCCAGTGGCTACACTGATATATGATGTACTTGGTGTGAGGATTATGGAGAACATACTGTGTGATTCCCATTGATGGAGTCATATAAAGTATACTTGGTATGAATACTTAACATGTGTTGCTATGAGTTAAGTACTTTGAATTACATGTTTGGCATACTTTATGCAACTCTAGTTTGAATGTTTTGTTATGTCTTATGATCTTGTTATGTCTTGATTTTCTATTTGCACTTAACACAGTGCTTTGCCTATAATAAATACTTTTTCATTAGTATAAAGAAAAAAGCACAAGGACCAAATGGATTTACAAGTGAATTCTATCAAACATTTAAAGATCAACTAATTCCAATACTAAGTGTATTATTGGAAATAATAGGCAAAGAGAGACCCTACCAAATTACTTTTATGAAACAAATACGATATGGATTACTAAATCAGGAAGAGTAAAATCAGAGAAAGAAAATTATAAGCCAATTCCATTAATGAATATAGGTGCAAAACCATAAATAATAAAACTAGGTATAAGATCACAACAATATTTTATAAAGATTAAACTTTAAGAGCAAGTCGGATTTATACCAGGAATTCAGGTATGTTTTAACTTAAGGAAAACTATTAACATAATTGATTATCTCAATAATAAAAGTTTTAAAAACTACATGCTTACATCAGTAGATGCAGAAAAATACTTTTTATGAAGTATAACATTCATTTCCATTAGTAGCACTTAAAAGTACAAGTGTAAGTGGAATTTTCCTGAAATTGATTAAAAAAAAAAGCATTCATCTGAAGCCGTCAACAAGCATTATTTGAAATGCGGCTAAGATAGAAGCCTTCCAAGTAAGATTAGGTTTGAAACAGGGATGCTCACTGTCACCAATAATAATCAACGTTGTATTAGAAATCCTAGTAATAGAAATAAGAGAAATAGAAGGCATCAGAATAGGGAATAGTGTAATAAAATTATCTCCTTTTGCAGATGATATGATGACATACTTGGAAAATCTTAAAGTTTAAAAAGTTAATTGAAAAAACTAATAATTTTAGCAAGGAAGCAGGACACAAAGTAAATCCACTTAAATTATCCCCATTCCTATATATCTGAAACAAAACTGTACAAGCAAAGATAGTAAGAGATACCCCATTTGAAATAACTCTGGACAGTATAAAATGCCTGGGAGTACATCTGGCAAAACAAAATGGGATCTAAAAATTATAAAAGAAAATTATACAAATAAAATCAGATACAAGTAATTGGAGAAATGTTAATTGTTCATGAGTAGGGAGGGCAAACAAATGAAAATTTTGCCTAACCTAATTTATGTATTTGATAACATCCCATTTTTGCCCAAAACTTATTTTACTGACTTAGAAAAAATAACAAAATTCATTTGCAAAAATAAGAAGTTAAGAGTATAAATGAACGAATGAAAAAAATGTAAAGGAAGGAGGCTTAGCATTGCCACATCTTAAAGTATATTATAGTAATACAATAATTATCAAAACTCTTCTTGCTGGCTAAGAAATAAAAATGTAGATCAATAGAACAAAGTAGATTTGCAGTTAACAGTGGCAAATAAATATAGTAAGCTTGCATTTGACAAGTGTAAAGGTTAAGATTTTGGAATAAGGATTCATTATTTGGTAAAAATGTTTAGGAAAAATAGAAAGTGGTAAGTCAGAAATTGTCCTTAGATCAAAATCTTACACCATTTACCAAGTTAAAGTCAAAATAGATACATGTTCTGGATCTAAAGAGAGATATTATGAAAATATTTGAAGAATGCAGAACATATTACTTGTCAGGCTTATGGAGATGTAAATAATTTATGAATAAATAAGAGATAGAGAGCAGAGTGAGGCATGAAATGGATAAATTTGGTTACATAAAATTAAAAAGATTTCGTATAAATAAAACAAATGTAGCCAAGTTCAGAAAGAAAGCAGAAAATTGGGGTAAAATTTAGACTTTTTTCAGATACAAGTCTCATATCATTCATATATATCTATATCTATATCTATCTATCTATCTATATATATATATGTGTGTGTGTGTGTGTGTGTTTATATATATTTGCAAAATCTATAAGAATACAATACATTCCCTAATTAATAAGTGGCCAAGGAATATGAATAGACAGTTTTATAAAGAAGAAATCAAAACCATTTTACAAATGTATGAAAAAGTACTCTCTATATATTGATTAGAGAAATGCAAATTAAAACAACATGAGATATAATTTTAAATTGGTAAAATGATTGAAGGGGAAAGTGACAAATATTGTAGGGGATGTAGTAAAATTGGGACACTAATTCATTATTGGTGGAATTGTGAACTGATCCAACCATTCTGGAGAACAATCTGGAATTATGTCCAAAGAGTTATTAAACTGCCTATACACTTTGACCCAGCAATATCACAACTAAGTCTGTTTCCAAAGATAATTAGGGGAGAAGGAAAAAAAAAAAACACCTACATGTTCTAAAATATTCATAACAGCTCTCTTTGTGGTGAAAAAGAGCTAGAAACTTCAGGGATGCCCATCAATTGGGGAATGGCTGAAAAAGTGGTATATGATTGTGAAGGCATACTACTGTGCTATAAGAAATGATGAGCTCAATGACCTTACAAAAACATGACTAGACTTGCACAAAACAATGAAGAATGAAATGAGCAGAACCAAGAGAATGTTGTATATAGTAACAGTAATATTGTTTTAAGAACAACTTCATGTAAGCTATTTTGACTATTGTAACTACTCAAATTAACTATAAAGGACATATGAAAGAAGATGCTGTTTGCATCCAGAGAACGAACTGATAAATAGAAGTACATATAATATGATTTTCCATATATATATATATATACATATTTGTATCTAATGGTAGCCATCTGTAGGATGGGTGGAGGAAAAAAAGGAAAAAAACAAACGTACATAATAACTTCATAATATATTTAAAAAGAATAGCTGGTTGTACTTCATGCATTTGGAGTTTCATGTGCAATCATCTTATTATTATTATATTATGTTATTTAAATGCTTGTCTTATTCCATAGATTTAAAATTAAATACATAAATAATTTCTGAAAAATTAAAAAAATGTCTCTGTGAATTGACATTTTTGTCATTTTGTCACATTGACAAAGTTATGGGTACTTAAAATACTGAGGTTTTTGAGAACTGAGGACAAAGTAGCTGAGATAATGTTCCTTTCTGTAATTCATACAGAGAACCAGAAAGGTGGAGAAACTTTAGAAGTGTTCTACTGGGATCTCAGGAAATGGGAATCTGTTAATGATTTTATTTAAAAAAAAAGATTCTGTAGAGATTCAACTTCCCAACTGACTTTCAATAAGCAATTACAAACCTTCTCATCTATCATTATCTGCAGCTCTTAGAAAAAAGGCCATCACAAGGATGAAAAGGATGGGAAGGCCCTAGGGAAGTTTGCTGAGTGGAGAGGGAAAGCCATAGACCCTGAAAGGAATGGTTCATCTTTACTCTCCTGGGACTGGACACTTGTGCTCGGTAGTTGAACACCATATGCAGCCTGATCTTCTGGCTTCCTTGTAGGAGAAAGTTTATGTATGAACTCATACTCCTCTCTTCACATTGTGCTTCTTGCACAGTAATACAACGCTGCATCCAGCTGTGAGTGATTTTAGCTGCAGAGAGAACTGATTCTTAGATGTATCTGCTGTGATAGAGACTCTGTTTTGGAAAACAGGGTTGTATTTTGTACTCCCACTCCAATATCCAATCCACACTAGCCCTTTCCCTGGACACTGTCGGATCCAGTGCCAGTAGTAACTGGTAGTAACGGAGCCACCAGTGACAGAACAGGTGAGTGTAAGGGACTCTGAGGGCTTTACAATTCCTGGCCCTGACTCCTCCAGTTGCAGGTCAGACAGTTCACCTAGGAACAAGGAGAAGCACATTAAGTCTTAGCACTAAAATAATTTCCCCTATAAACCCATTAGGTAATCTCTTAATCATTCTCGTCCAGGACCTACCTGCCACCAAGCAGAACAGAAGCCAGAACAATTTCATGGCCTTCCAGGTGAATGAGATTTTTTGTCCAGAAACCTCCATCCCAGAGTGAGAAGAGAGACTGACCCTCCCCAAGCCAAGGCTGAGTTTTCACTTGGCAGCCTGAGAGGCTTAGTTTGCATGTGGAGGGCATTGGGGTATATAAAATGAGTTTGAGCAGAAAAGCCAGATTTCTTTCACTGGGGCTTGTTCCTGGATTCAGCCAGTAGGAGCTAGTGTAAGATATTGGTGCACCCACAGATGGGGTAAGTATGTGGCTCAGTGAATATAGTGTCATGTCTCCAGTAATTCCTTACTCTTCTTCCTGAGATCAAATCTAACCTCAGTCACTTACTAGCTCTGTGACCCTGGGCAAGTCACATAACCCTGTTTGTCTCAGTTTCCTTATCTGTAAAATGAGGTGGAGAAGGAAATGATAAACCACTTGAACATCCATACCAAAAAAACCCTAGATGATGTTACAAAGTCAGACACAACTGAAAAATGACTCAACAACACCTTTACAAAGGTTTGATGTGTTCACTTATTGTATGTTTTTATTACCCATACCTTTTCCTCCAGGACATTTGTAATCGCATAGTTAAAAAAAATGGCCAGGGTTTTTCCGACATGACTAATAAAAAGCAAGAATTAAAAAGTTTCTCAGTGTGTTATTGTATTGTGTTGTATTGTGTCAGTTGTTTATATAATTTTTTTTATTGTGGTGGTTCAGTCACATTTCAGTCATATGCTACTCTTCATGATCCCATTGGAGTTTTCTTGGCAAAGATACTGGAGTAGTTTGCGATTTCCTTCTCCTGATTATTTTATAGATGAGAAACTGAGGCAAACAGGGTTAAGTGACTTGCCCAGTGTCCCACAGCTAAGTCTCTAAAGCCAGATTTGAACTCAAGAAGAGGAATCTCCCTGACTCCACGCCTGATACTTTATCCCCTGGGCCACTTAACTGCCCTATTTAATAATGTAGATGATTATAAAACTGCATATTCTTAGGCTTTGTTCCCAAAGAAATGAGCTAGGTGACTTCCATTTGAGCACTGATGACTTCAGTTTTGGGATTTATTCCCTTGGGGCCATAAAGCTTCAATATAACTCCTTTGGCCAGCATGTACATTTAATTGATAGCTCTCCCTGTGACACTTTACTCTGCTTGATTCTCTGTCCATACCATGGCCAATATGTACTTCCCTATGCAGAAGTAAATTCATTTTCTAGATTCAGGGTGTCCTGAGCTCTCAGACACAGTCATTCACTTTTGCCAGGTGTCAATTCTACATTCAGCTAGCTGTTACTCTGGGGTCTCTTTTGCTCTATGAGATTTCTTGTGTTCAGTGTATGATCTGCAGCAACTTTTTAGAATAAAACCTGATCCTGGGAAGCGGGAGGTGGAATAGCTTAAATAAGGTGTGAACAGAGATAGAAATACAGCCTGTAGTATTATGGAGCTGGCTCCAGTCATTTGGGGAGGGCCAATTGTTAAATTTCCAATGTAAGAATTTATACCTTCATGGGCACTTCTCTCTCCCTACCTCCCTACCTATCAACACTCACTCAAACTCTTAGTGCAAATAATTGACTCTAATGGAGCCAATTACTGGTCTCAGAGTCAAGAAGATCTGAGTTTAAATCCAGCCATAGACACTAACTGTGTGGGGCTCAGTAAGTCACTTAACCTCTGCTTGTCTCAGTTTTCTCAGCTGTGAAATGAAATCAGCTATTTTCTCATTTCTTACAACATAGTAGGGGAGTACAAGTGTTCAGGAAAGACTAATACCTCTGGTGTGAAGGCTGCTAAACCCTTTTCAGGGCTGCTCATCCACCTTTGGTGCCTACTGCCACCCAACTCTTACCTGTAGCTCCAAGAAGCAGTAGCATGGGCAGCAGTCTCTTTTTAGTTTTGGCAGACAGGCTAAACCAGGTTGAGATTAACCAAAAGGCTTCAAACCTGTCAGTGAATTGGAGAGTGTCTACCCCAAGCATACAAAGGACATTCCCTGGCAGAATGGGCAGATGAGAACAATTTGTTCCAATGGACCATGAAGGTGGTGGAAGCAGGCAATGTGGAGCACTTAGAGGTTGGTTAGATATTAAAAATGCTAAGTTGATCCACTGCAACCCAAGCCATCACCAGTCATCTTGACTTTTTTCAAATTTATTTTTGTATTTTTGTTGGTGTTTTTAAATATAAATTTATTTAATATTAGCTTTCAACATTCACTTCCACTAATTTACAAGTTCCAAATTTTCATGCCATCTCACCCCTCCCCCCACCCCAAGATGGCATGCATTCTGAATATCACTTCCCCTAGTCTGTCCTCTCTTCTATCTTTCTCCCCTTCTCTTATCCCCTTTGCCTTCTATTTTCCTGTAGGGCAGGATAGACTTCTGTACCCCATTTCCCATATTGCTTATTTCCCAGTAGCATGTGAAAAAAATTTTTTAAAGATGTATTTTTCAAAACTTTAGGTTTCAAATTTTCTCTCTTCCTCCCTCCCCACCCACCCTCATTGAAAAGACAAGCAACTCAATATAGGTTGTACATGTGCAGTTATGCAAAACAAATCCATAGTAGATATGTTGTGAAAAACTAACTCTATTTCCCTTAATCCTATACTGCCCTCCCATTTATTCTATTCTTTCTTTTGACCCTGTCCTTCCTTAGAAGCATTTACTTGTGATTACCCCCTTTCTCAATCCGCCCTCCTGTCTATCATCGCCCTGCTCTCTTGTCCCTTCTCCCCCTATTTTCCTGTAGGGTAAGACAGATTTCCATACCCAATTGAATGTGTATGTTATTCCCTCCTTAAGTCAAATCCTATGAGAATAAGATTCACTCATTCCCTCTCATCTTCCCCCATTTCCTCTCCAGTGTAAGAGACTTTTCTGTTTTTTTTTTGTGAGATAATTTACCACATTCTACCTCTCCCTTTCTTCTTCTGAGTATAATCCTCTCTCATCCCTTAATTTTATTCTCTAGATATTATCCCTTAATCTTCAACTCACCCGTGCCTGCTATCTATCTATCTATCTATCTATCTATCTATCTATCTATCTATCTATCTATACACAGATATAATTTTTTTCCTCCAACTACCCTAATACTGACAAAGGTCTCATGAGTTATAAATAACATCTTTCCATGCAGGAATGTAAACAGTTCAATCTTAATAAGTCCCTTATGATTTCTCTTTCCTGTTTCCCTCTTCAAGTTCCACCTGAGTCCTGTATTTGAAAGTCAAATTTTGTATTCAGCTGAGGTCTTTTCATCAAGAATCCTTGAAAGTCCTCTATTTCACTGAATGACCAATTTTTCCCCAGAAGGATTATACTCAGTTTTGCTGGATAGGTGATTCTTGGTTGCAATCCTATCTCCTTTGCCCTCCAGAATATTATATGCCATGCCCTGCAGTCCTTTAATGAAGAAGCTGCTAAATCTTGTGTTATCTTGATTGTGTTTCCACAGTACTTGAATTGTTTCCTTCTAGCAGCTTGTAATATTTTCTCCTTGACCTGGGAACTCTGGAATTTGGCTAAATATTCCTAGGAGTTTTCCCTTTGGGGATCTCTTTCAGGAGGAGATCTGTGGATTCTTTCAATTTCTATTTTGCCCTCTGGTTCTAAAATATCAGGGCATTTTTCCTTGATAATTTGTTGCAAGATGATGTCTAGGCTCTTTTTTTGATCATGGCTTTCAGAGAGTCCAATAATTTTAAATTCTCTCTCCTGGATCTATTTTCCAGGTCAGTTGTTTTTCCAATGAGATATTTCACATTGTTTTCTAATTTTTCATTGTTTTGGATTTGTTTTACAATTTCTTGATTTCTCATAAAGCCACTAGCTTCCAATTGCTCTATTCTAATTTTTAAGGAAATATTTTCTTCAGTGAGCTTTTGGACTCCCTTTTCTACATGGCCAATTTTTCTTTTTAGGGCATTTTTCTCCTCATTAGCTTTTTGGACCTCTTTTGCCATTTGGGTTAGGCTATTTTTTAAGGTGTTATTTTCTTCAATATTTTTTTGAGTCTGCTTTAGCAAGCTGCTGACTTGTTTTTCATGATTTTCTTGCATCACTCTCATTTCTCTTCCCAGTTTTTCCTGTCCTTCCCTTTCTTGCTTCTCAAAATTCCTTTTGAGCTCTTCTAAGGCCTAGGAACTGATTCATATTTTCTTGGAGACTTTGGATGTAGGAGCTTTGACTTTGTTTTCTTCTTCTGGTTGAATATTTTGATCTTTATCACCAAAGTAAGATAATATAGTCTGACTCTTTTTGTGCTGCTTGTTCATGATCCCAGCCAATTACTTGAGTTTTAAACTCTTTGTTAAGATATGAATCTGCTTCCAATGTGGAGAATATTCTGTCCCAAGCTTCGGGGCTTTGTGCAGCTGTTTTCAGAGATACTTGTAGGGACCTGTAAATTTCAGTTCTTTCAAGGTGGCATGATAAGGGTTGAGGTGCTTACTCCTTTCCTGGTCTGTGACCACAAGCACTCCTTTCTGTCCTGTAACTGTGAGGAGGGGTTTCTCCTCACAGCCACTACAAGCTCCACCACACCAGCACTCCTCACCCCAGCACGGCTGCCCAGAAATGTGACCCAGATCCAAACAAGGACAGAGCAAGAGATTCTTGCCTCAGCACTGTCAAAGAGATCCCTGCAATCCCTCTCTGATCAGCCACTGGATTCACCCTCAGTCTATGGTCCAGAAGATCGGGAAGCAGCTGTCCCTCCAGGGCCACACTTTTGGGGAATGGAGCTGAGACCCTGCCTTCCTGTCTCAACACTGCAGAAACAGACTTTTCCCACTTACCTTCTAAGTCGTCTTGGGCATTCGTGGATTGAGGAGTGTGGGAACCTCCACAGCTGCCCGAGATTCAGTCCTCTGAGGCCTGCTCCAGGTTCGCTGGGGCCTGTACCGTGCTGTGCTGTGCTCCCAGCCTGACGTGATAAACATTTTTGATCGACCGTCCAGGTTGTCTTGGGCTGGGAATTTGTTTCACTCTGTCTTCTTGTGGGTTCTGCTGCTTCAGGATTTGTTTAGAGCTATTTTTTTACGAGTATT